TTGCATATCGCGCCCGACCGTGAGTACAGCTAAAGTCCAACAGAATGATTCGTCCAGAGTCAGGATTGCCTTCATCAAACTCGGGCAGCAGGCCAAGTCGTGAGCCGAATGCTTCTAAGTCCTGAAGCAGGAAGCGTTGCGTATAACTCCTTCGGTACGCCAGGGGCAGAACGACACTGCATTGTGGCCCCCAGTCGCTCCAGAATAAGAGTCTCCACCGCCTGTAAGCCGGGCGGGCTAGAACCTCATTGATTTTGCGGCGTAGCGCCCACAGCGGGATGACTAGTATGAAGCGGACATTCTCGACCAGAAACTGGAGGGTCACAAGGGCGGATGCCGGGTCGGGCGCGAAGATAGAACCCGTGGTGGGGGTATGGGCTGTGCATGTGAGTCTGTCGCAGAAGATTTGAGAAGTGCATGAACCGAGCAGGGGTGGTAGTTGCAGCGAACAGATATGCGTGGGGTCGACGGATAGAGCCAGATTAAGGATAGCGCTTCCATTGGAAGTAGTGATTCTATGGATATGCATAATCCTGCGCGACTGGAACGCCTTGCCCACGAGGAGGATGTGACAAGGATCGAGGAATGTGGCCATGACGAATTTATTGAAGATGCGAGCCTGTGTAATCGGTTATAGAGGCGCCCGATGGTAACAGGCTCGATAGAACGCACCCAAACCAGCCTTCCCGTTTTCCAATTCCAGATCTCGAACTCGTAACATCTAGGATCGTCCAGGTTGGAAGGACGCCGGAGATTCCAAGCGACATGGTCCCCGCATATCCTCATGGAGAACACATTAAAGTGGTATCGCATTTCTCCTTGCATGTCAGGCGGAAGTTGACGCGTGATGGGTGAAACGGCACTAGGATGGGGCTGGCCGCCGTTATCTATTGACAGAAAGTGAAAGCGAACGTCCCTGGTGCGACCATGGAGTTCGGCAGATGTATGCAACTGACTACAACAAGCGAATCATACCATTGCCTGTCTGGTGGCGTTTCGGCCACCATCAGGAGATCCTGCGCAACATCAGTAGCGATCATGCGGATAGTTCCTTCGATATTGTCCAGAGTGAGCGCCCAGATACGTTTGTCTAGACATCTTAACGAGGAAGGCGGAGAGCATATAACCAAGCGAGGAGAGGTCCCAGCGGGAAGAATATACGATATCGAACCGTCAACGGAACCCTGCATTTGCCCGTCGACGTCCTCAGGACCAAGCCTGTAGTCCAGATCGGCGTAGAATTGAGCATCCTTTCGACGTTCTTTGTATTCGCGCAGCAGCTTCAAACGCTCCTCGATTCCGACGTTGCTAGGAGGGCCGTCTAACAGGTCGCTCGCCCAGAGCTCGATCTTGAGTTGCAGGTACGCGTCACAATCAATGAGATCCCGCCAACGACGACAGACCTGCGAAGAGGCATCAGAGGATGTCAGATTGGACTAAGATCCGTGCAAACCTGACGATTTTTCACAACTCCTGGGGCATCTAATAGCGATAGACAGGCGAAAAGGAGTTCATCGGGCAGGCGACCGATCGAGTGATGTTGTCGCCTAGAGGAGCGGCGAAGACGGGACCATAGACGGCTCACAGAGCGCATGGCTAGCCAAAGATTCACATAAAGTCATGAGCAGGCGCTAGCCCATGAGTCATATGTGTAGTCCGAGGACGACCTTCGACTCCAGCAGCGCATGCGGCATAGGTCGAAGCGCGTGAGCACGTGGGAGGCTGCGGTAGCGCACAGCACAGCAATAGCGGCCACGTGGCCGATTAGTTGGTACCGAACGCGTTCGAGTTGCTGCTCCTTCGCCACAATCGGAACGAGCGGTTCACTCTGGGCTGCTGAGATGGACGCGAGTTGTTCGGATAGTTTCACAGCATCTGAATTCGGCACAGATGTGGGACATTCTGACAGCGTAATCATCGCCAGTACGCCTATCTTGCCTGCTACCATACACATTGCCTCGCTACAGCATCGGCAAGCAACTGTTTCGTCACCACCGCGGCGTAAAACACGCAGCGGACGTACTTACGGTCAAAATGGCGCACAACCAGGGCGTGAGGACCAGAAGCGCGCTATCAAAACCCAAAAGAAGTCCGTTTCTGGTAAATCGTCGGTGAAAAAGGGTCGGAAGACCCAAGATGCTCGTAATACTCCCTAGATTACCTAGAACCATTGATATGTCAGCGCGCTCACTCGTGATGTCTTCGTGCAGGGCCGCCTCCATCAAGCATACCTACTCAACTGGAAGACCGTGTGCAATGGCAAACCGTCGATCCTCTCGGACCGGAAACATCCGAATCCGCAATCATGTTGACTTCCGTTGAGTCAACTAGCAAACCTCCACCGTCGGGTAGGCCACGAATCTGGGCGATGGTGAGTAGCTGCTGTCTTTGACACATGCTTCTCTTCTCAGCGCTATCAGCAGTCCCGCGAAGAGCTCATCCAGATAGTGCCTGAATTTGCACAATCACACCATGACGTTGTGCATGGTGGCCCGTGGATGCGCCTTTTCTTCCTCGAGGGAAAAGCATGGGAGGGAGACAAGTGGGACGGAGGAACAGTGATAGAAGTATCTATGTGAGCGAGCACCCTTTCGCCAAGTCCTCGGTAATCTCACCTCTTCTTCAGGGCCAGGGCTTTCACACGCTCTCTACCCGACCTTCCGACCATCCCTAATCGTGATGGCACGTCGTCCAATTCGGAACCCGCGGTACGGACGGCTCGGACGCATGCGTCGGCATTTGCATTCCCTGGTACACCAGAACCTCCGTTACAGGTTATCGACCAGGATGGTACGTACCGCTTTGTTCAAGGCGAACATGTCGACGGTCAAATGCAGTTCGACTCGCAGGTGCAGTTGACTGGGCCCCCGCAGCCCGGGGCACAGATGTGTCTTGACGCGGAGATGCATCTCGACGTGCGTACGCCTAGCGAAGATGCAGGGAACGAGTACATTGCTGTCGACACGAATCAGTCGCCTCTTTCATCGCCGAATGAGCCTCCCGTCGCCGACGTGAACATTTTGGCACCAGAACGCGGCCCTCCAGAGATCGAGGCGCTACTATCAGCGCAAACGGCATACGTCCCTGTCAGCATTGTGCTATGTAGGAACGCCGCGATCGCGCCCTTCACACTACCCGCAGGCTGCGGTTGCGCATTCCTCGGCTTCTTCTACATCCAGGACGTGCAAGTCAAGACAGAGGTAGGCACACCCCTGGCCGTTCTGGGGAGAAGAAGCTCATCGAGGCCAGGACGTCACATGGGAGGTGGTACCGGGAGAGCGACCAAACACACTCATCAAAGGTCGTAGAGTCTGGCGCTTTCGTTTCGTATGGACGCCGGGCGGCGATAGCCCCGACCCCTCCGCTGCTCCTTGCGGCACGCCATGGTGGATGGAGACCTCGGCGGCCGCGACCTCTGCTCCAATAGCTCCGATGCATCCGTATACCCTGCTACCCCTCCAGTTCTTTGCACCTCCTGCATTGCTCGTATGTACCGAGGCCGACGTCGTGGCCTGGAAAGGCTGGCATTGCAATAGCTGTGGAATGCTGAATATGCAGAGGAATCTGTGCTTTCAGATGTGTAGCAGCTGCTCGGTACGCTCACTACAATTCTACAGAACCTGTACCTATCGCTTACTGTTGAACAGACGGGGAACGGTCTCCAGCCGATATCCGTCGAGTATGTGCGTCAAGTGCGAGGAACCGACCCGGTATCCCTCCCTTGGGACAGATATGGCGATGTCGTCATATGCGGCTCGTCAGACGGGCCCGATGGATTGCGAAGGTTCACATACGTCCTTGGCAATGCACAGATGGCGCACCATCTGTTCACCCGCAATCGCGCCGAGGCGCAGGAGGAGCCATCGAGGCTCTTCAGTGAGCTGCAAGCAGAGATCGAACTTGTCCCCGAATCCGCTGCCAAATCAAAGTCAGCAAATGGTTCCGGTACGCGTCATACATCCCTCATCGTAGCATAGATCCGTAAAACATCTCCTGAATTGCAGGTCCATACTATATCAGTCATTACAGCGCGTCGGCTTTCCAACAGTCCACCAACAACCCGAACGGGTTCCTTCCATCGGCTACCCCACAAAGTGTTCGCAGTGCACGCGAGCTTATGCTCCGCCGTGCCTGGGGATACCCAGGCTCCGACAAGCTAAACGCATCCTCTCTGGTCATACGCGCTTGGAGAACTGCTGGAAACAGAAAGGTACGCACGTAGATTCGCCCGGACGAGAACAGACCCGTAACGAGTGTCGATTCTCATACTGTCTTCTGCTACAGGGCTGCATATTCGCAGCAGAAACGGTACCGATAGCACTGATGTGCTTAGGCGCGGATGTCGAGTTCACCTTCTGGCGACGCCGCACGCCTGCTGAGAGATACCAGGCAGAGTATCTCGGACAATCAGCGAGCGCACCCATCACGTTGACGGACGACCCATCGGACGGCCTCGACGAGGCAGCAGGTTACTCCACGGCGATACGATCGGCAAACAACGCTACACCAATACAGAGCGCAAGTGGGCCCACGACGTCTCTCAGCGTTAACAACGGCGCCGCGCGCTCAGCGGGGCCTTCACGGAATGGAGGCAAAAGTATCCGTGATGCCCCCGAAGACGTTCTCATGGTCACTCTGGTGCATGGCGATGTGCTTGTCGTCCACGGCGGCACGTTCGAGGTACGTGCAGTATACGGCCGACTTGCTCGGTTATATCCCTGACAAGATAGTCAACGCAGTACTCTATCAAACGGACGGGAATGAGCATAGGTGAGATTACGCCCTATACAGAATAGTCGTAGGCCCGTACTAACTGCGTGAATAACACCAGTTCTATTCACTTCCTAGCCGCATATCAATTTCTCTTCGATACATATGCTGGCCCTCGGTGTATCCTTATGACGTTGTCTTCCGCTGGGTGCTTCACCCTCCTACTAGCATTATCTCTTTCTGCGTAGCCTTTGTCGAGAGGGAACATTACCTGACCAAGGAAAAGTATCGGCCTGGTGGTCTAGTAGTATGATTCCTTCTTAGGGTGATCCGAAGTGGAGGAGGTCCCGGGTTCAATTCCCGGCCAGGCCCGACCAACGTGTATCCTTTTAGCTCAAAAGATGCTCGACCGCGCTCGTCCACTGCCGCAAATACTAAAATCACCCAAGGTTTTACCAGACGCAAATCGGTGTAGATTTCAGGCGAGATTATGGCATGCGTTATACAGCGAATACAGCGGAACAGACACAGAGGATCCAATCAATAGGAATGCAGGGGTATATGGGTCAAAAGTGGAAGAGGACAGCAGACTCAGCACGCACAACGACTCAAAACGAATTCGGGTGGGTGTGAATAGTACCGCCGTGTCCAGGCATTTGCGGTCGGAGTCCATGGTCAAGTAGGTCGAGGAATAGTGACGAGCCAGCCTTGGGAATGGCCCAGACGCAAAGCATGGCATGATGTGTACCAAGGAGTATGTAGGGTTGAGAATTAGCAGGCGGACGCTCGCAGTAGCGCGCCCGCGGCAGAGAAGATCGGACAGCCGCCCGGGGGAAGCTGGAAGACGAGGTTGACTTAGTCGTAGAAAGAAGAGCGAAAGAGTGCGAGGAGAATGCTTCTATTCGCAAGGCCGCGCTTGCAAATGCCCCTCAAGGACTGGATGGAGACTCACTATGCGTTGGGAGCGCGTGCGGGATATGTCCTCTACCTCAGATCCTCTGATGGCCCTGCAGGTGACCGGCTGTCCACAACTTCCACAAGAGCGAGTCGACGCGCGAAGTCACGTCGTCCCAACCTTCCTCTCGACGTTCTGTTGGCAGCGTCGGGAGTGTCTCCATCGTCTCCACGCTGACCCTGTCGCCTGCCCACGGCCCGCTGGCAATCGTCCGTGCGACCTCCTCAGCGCAAAGCCTAGGAAAGCTCGTCAAGGGATCCGCCGACCACACGATCTGAACGAGGAGCGCATGCGCGAGCGTGGTATCCGGCGCGGTAAGCCCGTCGGCACGTATGTACTCCCCTTTGGAGGCGTTGCACAAGACAGGCTGTCCGTCCGGGTAGCATATCGGCGCCCCGCAGCCCCAGAGAACGCAGAGCCTTCGCCAATCTCTCGTGACGGAGGTCGGGCCCGGCCGCCTTGATCCCCGCCCTGACTTCTCAACGTCGCGTAGTCCCTTCGGCAGGTGCTCAAGGAGGTAGTAAAACGGGTCTGCCCTGCCGAATGCGTAGGTATATCTGTTGGCATGGTTTCTGTAACGTTCCATTACGACGTCGAAGATCTTTGCTCGTTCGTCCGCGCTGAGATGCAGGCTCGCAGGAAGATCGTCACGGTGTGAGGGGTTGCGACCGAGTAGAATGAGCCGGCAGTTCTGCCAGGGCGCGTGTAGCTCTTTCAAAGTGCTAAGCAGGCGAGTCCTCAGCGCACACAGCATGCTTTTGCAGGTGAGAGCAAGCACGAAGAGGTCCATGGATTGCAGCTGGTCCATAATCATGTCGAAGACCTCGAGGGGAAGCTTCCCGAATCCGTAGCGCTGGATGATCGTCCTCCCGCTCGCCATCCATGTATCAACCTCCCTAATCAACATCCGTGGTCAATGAGCACCCTGCATCTCATGAACATAAGCATAGCAAGACAGACTCACTTGGGGAGGCTCGGCCTGCGAATGCTGCTCAGCAGCGCGGTGTGGGCTCCAGGAGTGGACGGAAGAGTTGCACGGAAGAAGAAGTCGGCGAGTATCGCTGAGAGGCCCTCTGCAACTTCTTGCTTGTCAATGTTGTACCTAGTGGTAGTGATGACACGATGGTTCATGAGTGGTGCGGCAAGCTCTCTTGGAGGACCAAAGGGAATGCTAACAAGTACCACCGCTGCCTCATCTTCAAGGTGTAGCGGCTTGAAATGGATGATGTCAAGCTCAGAATTCAGATGTACTTTATCAGGTGTCGGGTGAGGGGCTTCATGCATGAACGTAGCTAGAAAGTAGGCATGTCAAGCTGTTGATACCTACATACTATACCCACCGTGGTATCGGAATGCGGGTGTTAGTGGCACTCAGGCCATATGCACTCTAGATTTGTTTGACTGATCAACAACTTCATCGGCCTGGTGGTCTAGTAGTATGATTCCTTCTTAGGGTTCCACACTTCCAAGCGTGGATATCTATATGGAGGAGGTCCCGGGTTCAATTCCCGGCCAGGCCCTACCCTATGAAGGACATTTCGTTTTGTTGAATTGGTTTGTCGTACAGAAAGAAAGAAGAGGAGGCAGAGGAACTACATTTGACCAGACGCTACTCTGCTACCCTCATTTCACGTGTGTATGTTCTGGGACCTGAGATGCACGAACCACTCCCAGCCGTCTTGAGTCGTCGATCGGGAAGGTTGCTGAGCGATCAGTGCGAGCACGTTTGGCCGGGCAGCTGTCGCTCTAACGAGGCCGTAGAGAAAAGCAGCGCGTATACAATCAAAGCTGTTTTCCTTCGCACAGGGATCCAACAACCTGAGTTCAGGGAGGTTGCAGTTCACAACAGGCTTAGTGAGGCATATAAGGACTAATGTGATCCTATGCTACGAGGTTTGCTGAGTGACAATTGTATACAAGCAATGTGTATACGTGTATACCACGCTACTGACGAGAGACCGCAACTTGCTCCCGCCCTAGTTAGGACAACTAACGTTTGCAACCACCATGCGCCCATTGGAATAGACAACCACAGCCGAATACGTCGTCTGCATGCACATGGACGACAGTGGCCTTGCAGGATGATGCGGTGGCACGCGGAGACACAACGGATGCATGTGCATCGTTTGAGGACTGGCTTGCAGACGAGGAAGATCGTCGTGCGCTCCATGGATTCGATGCGAATGAGCGATATGCCGCGATGCATTGCCGTCATGGAGCTTCTATGGATGAATGCGTTAGCACAGCGGATAAGGCTAAGCCAATAAAGTTGAAAGAATCAGAAATGCGAAAGTATCTTCTAACGTGCCAGAAGGCACTCCGACTGACGTGCAAATAGAAAAGAGTAGAGACTCATCCTTTGGAAGTAGGCAGGACAATAGGTACTCACCAGATGATATAATGGATGCTGCCGTCGAATGGAGCACGCTGCTCCTTATTGCTACAAGGTGCACAGTTGAATGCTGGACAGAGTGTGCAGCGATACCGCGAACGACGCGTCTCAGAGACCACGCTGTACGTATATAGGTGAATAGAACATACGGTTGACACAAATGACAACGTACATCAGTGCTTGCCCTGGGACTCCTCGCTCAGGGCATCCGCCAACTTCTGAAGTTGAGTAGAGGTCGAGCTCTCTCCACTGTTCTTGGCGACGATGCGTGCGCGGTACTCATGCAGGAAGTCGTCAATGCGCTTCTGCGCTGCCTGCGGCGAGACCTGTTGGACGCGCAGAGGCTCGATACGGAGAGGGGGGGTTAGAGCAGCGTCCATGGCGGTGAGAAGGAGAGTGAGAAGAAAATGGGCGAGAAGAGAAGCGCCGGAGAAAACGGCGCGAGACGCGGGTCACGTGTACGAAATGGCAGTCGTACCACCGCGACTGAATTGGAAAGAGAGAGACTGACAGTCACAGAAAGCTGGAGCGCGAGTCGAGGTCGTCGCCAGCGTCGCTTGTTCCCCGCACCCTCCTGGTCCAGTCCCCGTCCCCAAGCCCTCCTCGCCCGTATTCTACCAAAAATTCAGCCATAATGGGCGCCGCGTCTATGCTCACCCTCCTTCTCACTCATCCCCTCGAGTTCCGCACCCTCGTCCAGTACAAGGTCTGGCACGAGCCAAAACGCGACATCACAGCGCCCTCGGAACACGCAACCTCGGGATGGGACCGCCCCTCAATGCAGAGGTGTTGGCACTTCCTCGACCAGACAAGTCGTAGTTTTTCCGGTGTCATCAAGGAGCTCAACGGTGATCTGGCAAGAGTGGTATGTCATTATCTCGTCTCTGCCTGGCTGTTTCATCTGTGTTGTCTTCTTGAGCGAAGGAGTGGGAGTGGAGCAAGGTGTTTCGTGGTACAGCGCGCAACTGAGACAGCAAATTATACGAACCACCCACTACCGTTCCGGGTTGTCGGCGGTATTTTGTATCGAACGCCGATACAGGATCACGGCGAAATTGCCATATGCGCGTAGAACCGCTCTACGCTCTCACAGGGCGCCCAACTATCCCAATACAAGACACAGTTCCTTGAAAGTGGAGAACTTGAAGTCATATTGTTATTGTCATAGGGGCTACGGCGCGCATGCACAGTCCGCTGATCACTTACGGCATAGGTCTGCTTATTCTACCTCGTACTGCGAGGCTTGGACACCATCGAAGATGACATGACGCTACCTGACGAGAAGAAGCAGCCCATCCTCCGACAGTTCCACAAACTCGCCGTCACGCCCGGATGGACCTTCACAGAATGCGGACCCAACGAGAAGGACCGGCAACTACTGGTAGAGTGGACGGTGGTCAGCGAGGAGCTCAACAGGCTGGACCCTCGGTACGGAAAGCTATCTTCATTTGATGTCGTTTTGCTCATCGCTGATTGACTCCTAGGTACCTGGACATCATCCTGGACATTACCGAGAAGATGCAAACAGGCATGGCAGACTTTGCCCACAAGGCCGCAACGACGAATGAGAAATACGTCGAGACCATCGACGAGTACAACCTCTACTGCCACTACGTCGCAGGTCTCGTCGGCGAGGGTCTCACCCGCTTCTGGTCGGCGTCGGGCAAGGAGGCGGAGTGGCTCGGGGAGCAGCTCGAGCTCTCAAACGCGATGGGCACTATGCTCCAGAAGACGAACATCATCCGCGACTACCGCGAGGACGCGGATGAGAACCGGTTCTTCTGGCCGCGCGAGATCTGGGGGCGGGAGGTGTACGGCAAGGCGGTCGGCGGCCGGCCCGGGTTCACAGAGATGACCCAGATGTACCAGCCCGGGAACGAGAAGCAGGCGCTGTGGGTCCAGAGCGGGATGGTCGTCGACGTGCTCGGGCACGCCTGCGACTCGCTGGACTACCTCCGGCTGCTCAAGGAGCAGAGCGTGTTTTGCTTCTGCGCGATCCCCCAGACCATGGCCATGGCGACGCTC